CCGTCTTCCTCCCGGATGAGCACGGAGCTGATGGCTGCCGGGCTGACCCCAAGGTAGAGATAGAGGGTCTCCCCTACCTTTGGTTTGGAGAGCACAGGGGGTGAAGATAGATATCGTTTGAGCTCGTCGAAAGCCCCCTGGCATTCTGGAGTCCATTGAAAGCCAGCCGTCTTCCTCATGATCTGGAAGAAGGGTAGAGACTTCTCCGCTGATTTAGATAGAAAGCAGTTGAGGGCTGCCAGGCGGCCCGTCAACCGTTGAACTTCCTTCACATTGCGTGAGGGCTCCATGTTGATGATGGCCTGGATCTTCTCGGGATTGGCCTCAATACCCCTTCGTCTCACCATGTAGCCTAAGAATTTGCCCCCTTGGACGCCGAAGGTGCACTTCTTCGGGTTTAGCCGAAGGTTGAATTTTTGCATAATGGCGAAGATTTCTCGGAGGTCGTCGGCATGGCTGGAAGATTGTTTGCTCTTGACGATCATGTCGTCAACATAGGCCTTTGAGTTCTTTAGGCCGAAGGCCATCACTAGGTAGCAGAAGATGCCCTCGGGAGTCATGAAGGCTGTCTTTTCGGCGTCTTCCTCATGCATGAAGATCTGATGATACCCGCGGAATGCGTCGAGGAATGGCATGATTTCACACCCCGCGGTCTCATCTACAAGTTGATCGATATTGGACAAAGGAAAAGGATCCATAGGGCACGCCTTGTTGAGATCCGTGTAGTCCACGCACATGCGGAAGGTAGGAGGCTTCTATGCGAGGACTACGTTCGCCAGCCATGAGGGGTATTTTACCTCCTTGATGTGCTTAATAGAGAGGAGCATGGCGACCTCCTTTTTCACAAATTCCCTCCTCTCGGCGGAGAGGGGTCTTCTTCGTTGCTGTACTGTTTTTGCCGAGGGGTCCACCGAGAGGCGGTGGGTGATGACCCTTCGGCATATTCCCGGCATGTCCTCCGGCCCCCATGCAAAGACAGTGGAGTAGGCGCGGAGGGCATCGGTGATACCGGTCTTCAGATCTTCAGGGAGCTGGGCTCCAATCTTCACGACTCTCTCCGGCTTGGCCGGATCGAGCGCAAAGTCTTCTTACGTCCTCGGCTGGTTCAGCCCTCGGCCTTTTTTCTTCTTCGTCGATGGTTCCGGTGATGGTGTCAACACGGAATTCTGTATTACTTACCCTCTTCGTGACTTGAAGATAGCAAGCGCGGGCAATTTTATGATTCCCCCGGGAGTAGCCAATGCCCCCCTCGGCGGGGAACTTGAGGCAGAGGTGCCTCATGGAGATGACGGCCTCGAGGTCCTCGAGGGCCGGCCGGCCGAGGATGATGTTGTGGGCGCAGTCGATGTTGACGACGACGAACTCCACTTCGAGCTGGGCTCTATGGAGCCCGTCGCCGAAGATTACCGGGAGGGTTATTACCCCCTCGGAATCAATAGTATCGCCGGTGAAGCCGGCCAGAGGGGTCTTAATGGGCCGAAGGGACCCCCTCTCCAGATGCAGCTCTCTAAAGGTGCTGAGGTACATTACATTGATGGAGCTGCCCGTGTCAATGTAAGTTCGGTGAATGATGGTGTCGTTTATTTTCAGTCCGAATCACCAAGGCATCCCTGTGAGGAGAAGAAGTAGGAGGGAGATCTGCGTTGGTGAAGGTGATGGGTTCCTCCCTCAGCCGCTTTACCGGAGGCATATGGGTGACTTCCCCCACGTAAAGCGATTGAGCCCACTTTTTCCGCTGGCTGGTGGAATCGCCCCCTGTATTGCCACCGGTGATCATGAGGATGTGGCGTTTTTTCTCCTGGTAGTGGGGGTACTCCTCCTCTTCCTCCTCTAAGTTTCCGATCTCCCTCTTCTTGCCGAGGGGGATGGTGTTCGGGTTCACCCAAGCGTTCACCTTCGTGTGGTGCCCTCGGGGAGGTCCCTGATGAGAAGGTCCCTCCTGCCGAGGGCTCTGGATAAATTGGGACAGATGGCCCGCTTGTATCAATATCTCGATGGCCGTCTTTAGCTGATGGCAGTCATCGGTTCTGTGCCCCTGATGCCGATGGAAACGACAGTAGGGGAACTGAGGGTTGATAGCATGTACCTCCAGGGGTGCGCGAGAATCGCGCTCAACGAGGCCCCTCTCCTCGGCAAAATCAAGGATGATGCTGACGGGGTGCGTCAATGGTGTCCGGGGGCGGTCCAGGAGAATGGGCTGTGCCCAAGTCTTAGGGCCGTTCTTATAACCTCCCCCCGGGCTTGGCTTGGCCTTGCCGAGGGCGGTCATCAGAGGGTCCTGAAGCCTTGGGGTGGTTTGGAGGAGCCCCCGGCCCCCGGTTATTCTTGTTGTCAGCCTTCGGGGGTTGCTGATCTGGATGCTGGTGGTATTTCTCCACCTCCTCGGCCTCAGCATATCGGTCCCCCCGCTGCAGGGCCCTTATGTAGTCGCGGGGGGGTTCAATGATGAGCCTCCTTGAAAAGTTGCAGGTACGGAGGACGGTTTGTAGGAGGGCCAGGAGGGTCCCGTCGTCAGCACCGTCGACTTTGTCGGCTTCCGTTCTCCAGCGCTCCAGGAAGTCCCGAAGGGTCTCATCCCTCCTTTGGCGTATGGTTAGGAGGTGGGAGAAGTGCTTCCTCGTGCGACGCCTCCCGGCAAATTGCGTCAAGAATCGTTGGGCGAGTTCTTGCCATGAATCAATGCAGCCTTCGGGCAACCGGTTGAACCATTCGTATGCCGGCCCCTCTAAGGTGGAGAGGAACCAACGACACAAATATTCGTCTGACGCCCCTACCATCATCATGCTGTTCTGATATTTGCTGTAGTGTTCCTGGGGGTCCGTCTTCCCGTTGTAGGGCTGTATGTGTTGCCGTCGGTATTTTTCCGGGATCCGGGCCACCAATACCCTTGGAGTAAATGGCGTCCTGGTCCGGAGCTGGATGACGGGTTCCCCGGAGCCCTCAGCTACCTTCTTCTGCAATTCCTCCATTTTGGCGATAATGGCCTCGTATTTGAGGTCTGAATGAGGGGTGGAGGTGGTGGCGTGAGCTTTGTTGGTCTCCATTTCATCAAGCCGGCGTTGGAGGGCCGCAATAATTTCGTCCCGGGGGTCCTTCGGGAGGGTCTCCGCCCCCTGCGAACGAACCCGGGCCGAGTGGGCCTGGTTGATTTGGTGGCGAGCATCGTCGGCATGAAGGGGTGCCTTGCCTTTGTCCCTAGGGGGACGCTCCTCGTCTGCCCTCGAGACAGACCCTCCGCTTTCCTGGGGCCTCTGGAGTGCTTTTCCTCCGAGGCGGTCTTGGACCCCTCGGCGGTCTTGCCCCCCTCCGAGCCGGTTGAGGGCGGAAGTGCGGGGCCTTTCTCTGTTGTCATTGTGGCAGTCCCGGGACTGAACTTCCTGGGAGGCTGTATCTTGGGCCACTACCCCTTCGTCATTCCTAACCCGAGGGATGGGGTTTCCGAAGGGGTGTGGCAGAGGGGGAAGTATGATGTTCTCCCCAACCTGGGGTTGAGCCGGAGCCAGGGTGCCGAAGGCACCTGGGTTCTGAGTTAGCGTTTGGATGAAGGCGGAGAGCGCCGAATGAACGTCGATGGTGAGGACCGGAGGGCTGACTTGGTCATCACTCCGGTTTTTCTTCTTGGCCTCGATGCCGAGGCGGGCATCGGGGGCATTTTGCTGGATCTGAAGGCGTAGGTCGACAGCCGCCTGTTCCAACCCAGCGATGACACCGCCCTCGGGAGCCCTGTGAGAGGCTTCGGGGGCGTTGACGTCGCCAAGGGCCAGGTTCTTGCCTTCTACATTTTTGGAGTTGGCACGTGTTGTTCTCACCATTTTGGTAGAGGGCTAGTGTTTGGCGAAGGGGGAGGGTTTCTTACTCGATTGTTCGACCTCTCAACGAGAGCACCAAATGATGGACAGTGTACCCGGGGGTAGCTTATCCGGGGGGTTATTGCGGGGAATAACAAGAGAGAAGTCAGAGCAAGTAAGTATAGAGAGAGAAAGTGTATTCAGAAAGTATGCAGCGTTTATGACTTGGTTACAAATGGGGAAATGAGGTGCTATTTATAGTAGCAATAAATGCCGGACAGGGACACGTGTCAAGCGCCCATTGGCCGAGAGGTCACCTCAACTGGTTGGCGCTGGCAGCCGCATGTGGCGCGGATATTATGTCGGGAGAGGTGCCCTCGGCTGCAGAGGACTAGCCGAGGGCTCTGAGTGTCGGGGACCCCCTGGGTGCCGAGGGCTCCAGGTTGCCGAGGGCTGCTGTTTTCTGCCGTTTTTCTCCCAGTTTCTTAGTTTGCTTGAAAAACCTGTTATGTGAGAGTTTTGAGCCTTCGGCCAGGGGGCCGAAGGCTCCCCAGTGTGCGCTGTGGGCTGCTAAGTGCTTGGGGCGCCGTAATTTGGGGTCTGCTGTGCTTCCTGGGCCGATTGGGCCTTTATTGGTGTAGTAGGAGTCTGTGGGCCGGGGGTTCCCGGGCCATATACTCCATCACTTATTTTAAAAAATACTTCTCATATAGTATGAGTAATAAATAAAATAGCGGAAAATAATTAAAAATATCTCAAACTTTGAAAGGATGTGAGATTAACACCTCAAACTTGCATATGTAATTTAAATACCCTATTTTAGCACTATAACAACTATTATTTCTTTCAAAAATATAAAATTTATTCTGCTAATTGCATAATTTAAAATATTTTAGAATTCATTAAGACACAATTAACATTTTAAGTTTGCATTAGAAAATAAATAATGTTACCCTCAATCTATATAATTGCCACACTTTTAATTTTCTATTTTTAAATAATGAATTAACCCCATAAATTTAATTTACATTTTGAAAGATATAATACATGACAATGGTTCAAAAATAACTTTTTATTTAACGTTTAGGGTATTTAAATTGGATATGCAACTTTGAGGTATTTACTTCAGGCCCGTTCAAAGCTTGGAGTATTTTTATTTTATTTTTCTCAATAAAATAAAATGAAATAAAATTAAAATGCGAAAAACTCCAGGTATGAAAACGCAATAGGCAATTTCATCAGTAAACTTGATTTAATTGACGATCTCTGTCCCAGATTGAACATATCATCCACTGAATGCTCAAACGTATGGACCATCACGGATCCGAGTCTCTCTGTGACTACGCTTTTCTACTTCTTGCACTTGCTGCGTAGCTAATTCTGTTTCTTGTGCGCAGATTTCAAGTTTTTCTACATGTGAAAGTTTCTTCTATCTGAAGATACGCAGGTATATTGCCCCAATGCCCCATACCCATTAGTGTATTGATTGATATGATGGGGACTTAAGGACTTTGTTCTCTCTCACCATTTAAAGTTTTAATCTGTCCTTGATCACTATGCTAAAATTTGAAAAACAAAGAGACTGCAGTGAGAAGTGGGAGAAAGGTTGTGGCTTTTCAGATGGGTGAGGCTGATACTGATGGTGCTAGCAAGAAAGTTGTTTTTGTGACTGTTGGAACTACATGTTTTGATGCTCTAGTCAATGCGGTGGATACTCCTCAAGTTAAGAATGAATTGTTCAAGAAAGGCTATACTGATATAATTGTTCAAATGGGCCGCGGAAACTATGTTCCTGTAAAGGTAATTTTTTTAAGCCTTCTAACATTAATTAAATACAAAAATGTATCTTTAGCGTTATGTGTGTTTGGATCTGCTTTTATACTGTTTTTGCTCCTTTAGGGAGCATAAATAGATATTGTAGTATTTGGGCGAAAATGCTGAAGTATTTGGGCGAGTGATAAAAATCAAGTAGCAAGACTTGGTTACTTTGCAAACTGTGATGTATACTCCATCCTCCCAAAGAAAGGTTCTCATGATAAGGGTCCTTATAAAATGAGATATCCACCCGTTTTTGTGTTTATGATTCAATGCATTTCATCTCTATCATGTTATATAAAACATTTTAATTTAAAAATAGTTAATATGGGCAGATCTGGAAGATTATGAAAAAAGAAGTATTGGATTGTTAGAACAACAATGATTCGGAACAAGAAGTTTTGGCCTAGTGATTTTCGTTTGGGATGTAGGGAGTACATGTGTTTTTAGTATTTAGTTTTTTGTTTTGGTTTCAATGTTGCTAGTTTTTTTTTGAAATCCAATGTTGCTAGTTATTCTTATTGATTATTATCATATACTCCATATGTTGTTGAAATTGCTGTTCAATCTTCTGAATTATGTAGTAAAAAAGAGCTCTTTGGCATTTCTCTCTCCACCACTTTGGCACGGCCTGTCATTGAGAGTATAGAGGCAAGGAGATAAATAATCGAGAAAGAAGATACTCCTTATTCTATAAAACTGAAATAAGAATGAAAAAACATACGCGATATTCCCAACGGGTTTAACTTGCCTACTTGCCCACCCATCTTAGAGGACTGCCCACCTCTAAAAGAGTCCTGAATTCTTCTAATAGCTCGATAATCTTATTTATAATCTTTCACAATATGTAAAAGGGTAAGAAATCTATCAGTAATATATCGATGCTGTTAATAGCTATTTCTGGACTTATGCTGATTGGATTATTGATCGGTTGCTCATTTATTTCCCTTATTAATACCCTGGTTGGCTGGTTCTCCTCTGAATTTGCTGATCAAGATCCATATCCACCTTAGTTAACAGACTGCTTGCTAATTAAACCATAGTATTCTCAAGATTCATCATCTCGCCTTAATCCCAACAATGTTGGGTTGGTGGCATGAAACATGTAATTCTCTTTGTTTTCCAAAGATATTTCACACAATAAATTCTTACAGAAAATGATGACAAACCTTTATGCCAGATGCCCTTCTTGCGAGTCTCAACCTTCTTGCAAAGGAATTTAGACATTTTATTCTCAAAGTTACTTTTTTTTACCTATAGTAAATGTGTGATCTTAAAAGTTTATGTTGAATCTGTGCAGATACATTTCTCCATTTGACATACACTCTATAGTAAATGTAAACATCTTTTAAGTTTATGTTGATTTGTGTGATCTACTGCAGATAGACAATGTGAGAAGTCAATATGGATGTTAGCATATGATGATTGACACTACCTGAAAACAGCTTTAAGTTTTTGATACAACTCACCCTAAGACCAAAATAAATGCCTAATGCCTGGAACCCCCACCACACACACAATAAAAGCGGTTGTAAAATTCATTGTTGGAAAGTTAGAAACTTATGTTATATTTTTTTGCATATTCTGCTTGCTTGCTTTAGATATCAGTTTGAAAATTTCAGTCTGCTATAGAGAATGGATCCCCAGCTATGGACTGTTTCACTTACTCATCAAGCATTGCTGAATATCTGAAATCAGCTTCTCTTGTTATTAGCCATGCAGGTTAGTCACGTTTCAATACAGATGTATTTTTCGTCTATTCTTCCTCTACACCCAAAACACCCTGAAAGAGCATACCACTATTAAAAAGTAGATGCAAACATTGTTGAATATACTAACAATTAGATTTGATTAGTGTGCAGGTTCAGGCAGCATATTTGAGACATTGCGACTCGGGAAACCATTGATTGTAGTTGTGAATGAGGATTTGATGGACAATCATCAAAGCGAGCTGGCAGAAGAACTTGCAGAAAGGAAGCATTTGTTTTGTGCTCGGCCCCACACCCTTTATCAAACGATTGCGGATATGTGCTTAGAGTCTCTTCTTCCATATCAACCGGGTAATGCTAAGCCAGTCGCTGAACTCATTAGTAGGCATCTTGGTTTTCCTGAAGAATGAATAGTCTTTTATTTTCTTTCAGAGTTAAAACATGTAGTTGGCATAACAGTGAAATCCTAAGAAAAGGGAGAGACAATTTCAAATTTAGAGTTTGCTTCAATAACATCACCCACTCTTAATTTGAGTTGCAACCACTATTCAGAATACACTTGGTAATGGTGGTTTCATCGGTTAGTTTGTGAGTTTTAATCATGCATCATCCGGATCTTGGTTTGTAAAATAAATGTATGAATCTTTCAGAATGTTTCCAAAGTTCTTCTAAAGATATTTGTAGTTCAACTCTTCTCCTTCACTGCTCCGCTCAAGAACATTCAAAATTCAGTTTAAAATATCTTAAAGCGAAAATTCCCTAAACAGGAGTAAAAACATTTTGAAATTACAAAACAGGACTGACATGTTTTTATTTCATAAATAGGAGTAATTTTTGCCAAGTTTGTCATCATCAAAGCTTTAAACATGGCAGTTTCTGCCAAGTTTTTTCCAAACATGGCATAATTACTCCTATTTAGGGAATAAAAATATGAAGGTCCTATTTTGGAATTTCAAAACGTTTTTACTCCTATTTAGAGCAAATTCTATATCTTAAATTAACAAGGTGCATTTAGTAAAAAATATTGTGTATAATGCAGTTAAAACAAATACAATACATGCTTAGAATGGAAATAAAATAAGTTCTACATCTGTCCAGATTTAGTTTCTGTATTCTTTGTTGGGACATTCCTACTTCCTAAAAAAGTACTTCAAGCCATGTTTGGTAAATGACATATCAATCATTTTTGGCTGGTTTAACTAAGTTTACCTGCTTTGACCGGTTGAGTAGCTAAATAATATGTTTGGTAAATAGTTTTTGAACCAGCATCTTCATCCCAAGCAACCAAAAAATTAGCTGATTGGAAATGCAATTTTGGACAGGATTTTTACTATGGGTCATCCGGAAACAGTGTCTATGTGCTTTAGTACAGGGGTAAGACTGCGTACATCCGACCCCCCTTACCCCACCGTAGTTGGGAGCCTTTGCGGCACTGGGGTAAATGAAAATGAATTTGGAAATGCCAAAGTTGGAGCATTCTTGTTGGCTGATTCCTCATTTATTGAATTTCACTGAGTACTCCTAATATGCGTAGTTTCGTAGTAGTTCTCTAATGCATTAGGTAACACTGCACGTACACGTAGTATGCTATATTCTTATCTTACTACTTTTTTAAGTTACATTTTCTTATCTTTTCATTTTATGACTACTAAAATAAATAAATGTGAATATATAGTATTTATTTGATTTCAAAAAATAAATATATCAAGTTAATAAGAAAAAAATTAAAATCAATAAATAATCAATACTTCATCTTACCGATAAAAAGAGTGAAAAGTTTTTGGTATCAAACTTCATACCAACATCCAGAACTTCAATATCCTTTTTCTGACCATGTGCATCTGTCATGGTACAATATTGAATTCAAATAAACAATAAATAATTTATTCATACAGATAACTTAGTGCTACACACAGACAATATATGCACATACAGACAACTTTAACTGTTTCACAGACAAACATGTTCACTGTTCCAACATACACAGACAATGTTTTATACACTACACAAACAAACATGACCAATCTACAACACCCAGACCACACACAATCACATACTACCTCCGTCCCGCAAAGAAGTTCCCACTTTCCTTTTATGGATGTCCCAAAAAAAAGTTCCCATTTCTATAAAAGGAAACTACTTTTAACCAAAAAGTCACAATTACCCTTACTTTTTTCCCACTTTTTGTCTACCTTACATAAATATGAGTGTAGGTCAAACTAGGAATTTCTTTGCGGGACGGAGGGAGTATATACTATGGAACACAACATGCAGTGTCCACACCCCACACAGGCACGACACTAAGAACTTGTCTGTGTGAACAAATGTTGCCTATGTGAACGAATTTATTTTGACGTTCAAGCAAACTACAAAAACGAAATAAAAACAAGATGAAGTCCTACCCAGTTCATACACTACGTCCATGGAAGCCTCCAACGTCGGTCCGTCACCTTCTCCGGTTTGGGCCTTACTTCCATCATCTTCTTCATGTCCAACCGTCTGCCCGTCAAGCCCTGCAGCTCCGGACGTGTGTCCGTCACCGACGTCCAGCTACAGGCGTTCCTTCAGTTTGGTGAGCTCCGACGTCTCCGCCTCCAACAGTGATGGAGTATATGGGTCCGAGCCCCCGGACCCACATACTCGGAAGAACAGAAAGCACATACACTGAGTGGCGCCCTCGTCGGCCAAGGGACCCCCGTCGGCCGAAAAGGTGTCAACTCAGATTATGGTCCTGAGCCCAAGGAGCCCGGGTGCCCTCGTCGGCCGCGCCCTCGTCGGCCGTGCCCTCGTCGGCCACGCCCTCGTCGGCCACAAAGACCTCACAAAACCGGATTTTACACTTACTTATTTGTACAGCCCATTAGTGGCTTTGTATTCGGCCCAGTAGCGGTCCAGTTGTAAATGGGCCTCCCTAGCCCAAGGCTTGGGAGCCCAGCCCGTATTTTCTCTATAAATACTCCCTTTGGGAGTAGTTATAGGGGTTACAAATTCATTCTATTGAAGCATATTATTGCACTTCTCTCTCTAGCTCTCACTTCTCTCTAGATATACTCTATCATTTGGTGCTCTCGTTGAGAGCTAGAACAATCAAGTTAGCACCCTTCGTCGCTACCAAGCACAGCTAACCACTGATCATGGGAAGAACTAAGTCAAACCGCAACCTCGTCAGCAAGGCCATCCCTGAGGACCAAGAGCCCAGGGAGCACGATGAGGACGCCACGGCCGACCAGGTCGGCGGAGGGGACCTCTTCCAGGAGGCCTTCAACCTCACAACGGACCTCCGAAACCAACTCAACGGCGGAGCCCCTGATGCCCGCCTCGGCCTGGACAAGAAACGAGCTGAGAAGACGGATCACGCCCCGGCCCAGCCTATGGCCGCGGCCTCTCCGTCCGTGGATCCACAGGTCCAGGCCGCGCTGTCGGTCATCATCGTCAGCCTGGCTCAGAACCCCACCGTCCTCAGCGCACTCTTGCCAAGGACCGGGGGGAACGTCACTCAACCTCCTCAGCCCCAACCGTTGGCCGACCAGATAGGCAACGATGAGGGGGTAGTGGCCCAGGACACGGCGTCGTCCCACTCCCACCCTGCTTCCCCTCTTCGGCCCGGGCAGACCCCAGCGCGTGGAAAAGCCTCTGCCTTCAACAGGCTAGGCGACACGCGCCGTCGTCCGGTTTCGGAGAGGATGGCGGGACGGATTGGTGAGCGTCGTCCTGGCTCGCCGAGGGAAAGCTTGGGGTCTGTGTCCCGGACAGCGGACCAGCCCCGCCCGGACAGGGGCAAGGGGAAGCTGCACGAAGACGACGTGCGCCACCAGATCAATGCGGCTCACGGCGAGCGCATGAGGAACCAGCCGGGCACCGCTGCGGCCGCCAGGGACCCCCGGGACGAGGTCATCGCCCAGCTGGAAAGGAGGCTGGCTCAGATGGAGGCCAAGCAGTCGGCCAACATCCCTACGGCCGGCGCCTCCAACGACCCCGGCCTCAACGCGCTCATGAATAAGGTTAGCGCTCTGGAGAGGGAGCTGGCCGAGGGGCGAGGTGACCCCATCATCCAGGTCAGGACCAGGACCCCTTTCACCAACAGGGTCCTCTCGGCCCCCATCCCGGAGAAGTACAAGGGGAACTTCATCAAGTCCTACGACGGCCGATCAGACCCCCAGGAACACTTCAGCCGTTATCAGAACAACATGCTGATGGTGAACGCGTCCGACGAATACCTCTGCCGTTGGTTCCTCTCTACTCTCAAGGGGCCAGCGTACGAGTGGTTCAACGCGCTCCCCGAAGGGAGCATCGACTCATGGCAGGATCTCGCCCAACGCTTCCTCACTCACTTTGCCGGGAGGAAGCGTGCGAAGAAATATTTCACCCACCTCCTCTCCGTCAAGCAGCAGCACGAGGAGCCCCTCCGAGCATTCATCGATCGGTGGACGAGAGAAACCGAGGAGGTCGAGGGGGCCGATGAGCGCACCCTCCTCGCCTTGTACCAAGGAGCCCTCCGCAGCTCCCCATACGCTAGGAGCCTTATCACCGACCCTCCGAGGTCGTACGCCAAGGCGCTCCAGCGTGGAGGCTTGTACGCCGACGCCGACGAGCTCCATAATCACAAGAGAGAGGGGGGCCATCCCTCCAAGAAGACAAATCCTTCGCCGGCCCCGGGTCCGTCCCCGGCCGGCCAGGGTACCCAGGGCCGTCACGGCTCTGGTGGACAGAGTAAGAAAGATCGCCACTGGCGGCCAAGGTTGGAACGGCCGGGAGTCTCCCTCACTCACCCGGTCGGCACCATCCTCGATTATGCCGAGAAGCACAGCCTCATTGAGCAGGCTCCTCGACCGGCCGAGGAGATCCTTGCCATCCAGCAGGGCGGCACATACTGCCGGTTCCACAAGAACTCGTCGCACAACACCGACGATTGCATCACACTGAAGAAGGCCATCGAGCGCCTTATTCGCCAGGGGGAACTCTCCCAGTTTGTTAAAGGTGTCCCACGCAAAAACACATGGGTAAACACCGGCAAACATGGGGGCGAACCCTCTGCGAAGAAGCGAGAGATTGGTAGGCTCAGCGACGACGAGGACTTCGAAGAGCCCCCGCCAAAGAAGAATGACATTCACCTCATCGTAGGTGGAAACACTGGGGGGGACTCCGCCACTCAGAGAAAGAAATGGGCCCAATCCCTCTACATAGGGGAGGTGTCCCACGTTCCCCCCCAGCCGAAGAGGCAGCGGACGGAGGCGATCACCTTCACCGACAAGGATTTGCCTCCGGGTACGGAATCACACAGGGACGCCCTCGTCATCCGGTGTGAGATCGGTGACTCCGTCATCCACCGCACTTACATCGATACGGGGAGCTCCGTCAACGTGATGTACCTGGATACCTTCAGGCAGCTGAAGCTGGACAGAGCTCTGCTGAAGCCGATCAAGACACCGTTATCCGGCTTCCCCGGGGACTCTATCGACGCCGAGGGCACGATAGTCCTCCCCGTGGAGGTCGGTGACGGCCCCCACCACGCCAGGATTGACATGGAGTTCATGGTGGTCAACCTCCAGTGCGCCCACAACCTGATCTTGGGCCGGCCAGCGCTGGAGGACTTGGAGGCCATCATCTCCATGAAGCACTTATGTCTGAAGTTCCCTACCAATGACGGCATCGGCTACGCCAGAGGAAACCAGAGGATAGCCAGGGCGTGCTACCTCAAACTAACGAGGCCGGCCGAGAGGGAAGGCCAGAGGATAGACACCATCACGGCCGCCGTCGCCACGGACGAGGAGAGGCCACATGCGGAGCCGGTCGAGGAGGTCGAGGAAATCCCTCTGGATACCTCCCGGCCGGATCGGGTTCTCAGAGTCGGGAAGCAACTCCCCCAGGACCAACGAGACGCCATCCTCCTCGTCCTACGGTCGTACGCCGTTGTCTTCGCGTGGGGCCCGGACGATATGCCAGGCATCAGCCGCAAGGTGATCACTCACCGGCTGACCGTCGATCCGGCCTCCGCGCCCGTCAAACAGAAGCGGCGCTACTTGTCCGCCGACAGGCGGGACTTCGTCAAAGGGGAGGTCGCCATGCTCCTCTCAATCAAACACATTAAAGAGGTGAAGTACCCGACGTGGTTGGCCAACGTCGTCCTCGCCCAGAAACCGCCGACGTTTAGAATGTGTGTTGATTACACTGACCTGAACAAGGCGTGCCCCATGGACCCGTTCCCTCTCCCCAACATTGATCAGCTGGTGGACGAGACGGCGGGGTGCGAGTTGATGTCGTTCCTCGACGCTTTCAGAGGGTACCACCAAATCTCCATGCATGAAGATGACACTGAGAAGACGGCATTCATGACCCCAGAGTGAATCTTTTGCTGCCTCGTCATGGCCTTCGGACTAAAAAACTCCGGCGCCACCTACACTAGGATGGTGGCCAAGATCTTCAGAGCGGTCCTTGGCCGGACGATGGAGGCGTACGTCGACGACATGATCGTTAAGAGCAGGCAGGCCTCCTCCCACGCCGACGACCTCCGGGAAATATTTGAAATCATGAAGGAGTTCAGGCTCCGGCTCAACCCCAAGAAGTGCGCCTTCGGCGTCCAGGGTGGCAAGTTCCTCGGCTACATGGTCAGCCGGAGAGGCATCGAGATAAACCCGGAGAAGAAGTAGGCCATCATCAACATGGAGCCGCCCTTAACGTCAAGGAAGTACAACGACTGACGGGGCGCCTGGCGGCCCTGAACCGGTTCCTCTCCAGGTCAGCCGAGAGGGCACTCCCTTTCTTTCAGATCATGCGTAAGGCCAACAGCTTCAAGTGGACGACGGAGTGCCAGGAGGCATTCGACGAATTGAAGCGGTACCTGTCGTCCCCACCCGTGCTCTCCAAGCCCAAAGCCGGCGAAACCCTCTTCTTGTACTTAGGGGTGAGCACGTCGGCCATCAGCTCCGTGCTCATCCGTGAGGACGAAGGGGTGCAAAAGGCCATCTTCTACATCAGCAAGACACTCAGGGAGGCCGAGCTCAGGTACTCCCCCATTGAGAAGACGGTGCTGGCCATCGTCCATACGGTGAAGAAGCTGGGACACTACTTCCAGGCCCATGCCGTCCATGTGCTAACCCAGCAGCCTCTCGGCGCACTCATGAGGAGCCCCACCAGCTCCTCCAGGATGGTGAAATGGGCGATCTTCCTCAGCCAATTTCAAATTGAGATCAAGCCAAGGCCATCTATCAAGGGGCAAGCCTTGTCCGACTTCGTCATTGAATGCACAGCAAGGGAGACGGCCGTCGCCAACCCCGGGCCGGAGCCGGACGATACATGGACCCTGTTCACTGACGGCTCGTCGGCCGCGAAATCATGCGGCGGCGGCGTCCTCATATCCCCTGAAGGATTCAGAGCTTACTATGTCATCCGCTTCAACTTCAAGGTATCCAACAACGAAGCCGAGTATGAGGCCCTCCTCAGCGGTCTCACACTCGCCGCCGACCTCAAGGCCAAGCACCTCAAAATCAAGTGCGACTCCAAACTGGTAGTGGGCCAGGTGGAGGGATCGTACGAAGCAAAAGAAGGCCGAATGAAGCAGTACAAACAAGCGGCGGAGGAGTTGCTGAAAGCGAATGAAACCCACGAGATCACTCAGATCCCAAGGGCCGAGAACGCCGAAGCCGACATCCTCTCCAAACTCAGCTCGGACACCCCGGAGCACATCTCCCAGTTGGCCAAGATCGAGGAGTTGAGCATGTCCAGCATCCATGCCAGCCCCATCTTGTGCGTCCAACAGTGACCAGAGGACTGGATCTCCGACATCGCCACCTTCATCACAGCGGGGGAGCTGCCCCCGGACGCGGAGAGGGCCAAACTTGCCAAACTCAGGGCCCCAAGCTACACCATCGAAGATGGCAAACTCTACAAACGGTCCTATAATGGCACTCTCCTCCGATGCCTGCACCAGGACGAGGCCGACATGGCCATGGAAGAAGTTCATTGCGGCGTCTGCTCCTCGCACCAGGGTCCTTTCAGCATGTCCCGACGTCTCGTCGTCTAGGGCTTCTTCTGGCCGACGATGGCGCGAGACTGCGCGGATCTGGCCAGGAGGTGTACCACGTGCCAGGTGCTCCAGAAGGCCCCTGGTCGGCCAGCCGTCAACTACGCCCCCGTCAGCACTGCAATTCCATTCTCTAGATGGGGGATTGACCTGGTCGGCCCTCTGCCCAGAGCCGCCGGGAACAACCGCTACATCATCGTCGTCGTCGACTACTTCACCAAGTGGGTCGAGGCAGAACCCCTGGCCAGCATCACGGGAGCCAGATGCCAAAAATTTGTTTACAAAAACATCATCACACGCTTCGGCATCCCCCAGGAGATTATATCAGACAACGGCACCCAATTCGAGGCAGCCCCTTTCCAGGAGCTCCTCCGGGAGTTTGGGGTAAAGCATCGTTTCTCCTCCGTTGCCTACCCTCAGGGCAACGGGCAGGTCGAGAACGCCAACAGAACAATAATGGAGGGGCTGAAGAAGAAGCTCCAGGCCGCAGGAAGTAGTTGGGTCGACGAGCTCCCCAACATCCTGTGGTGCTACAGAACCACACCGAGGAGGGCGACGGGTGAAACACCTTTCGCCCTATGCTACGGCTTCGAGGCAAAGGCGCCCACGGAAGTTGCCATCCCCAGCCGACGGGTGGAACGATATGAGCCTGACGCCAACGAAGAGAACATGAAGATTGACCTGCACCTGGTCGATGAAAGGCGTGAGCAAGCTTACGTCCGAGCAGAGAACTCCCGGCGTCAAGTAAAATCATACTATGACGCCAAGGTACGCTTCCGGGAATTTCAGGTGGGGGACTACGTCCTCCGCCGAAGGGAAGCAAGCCAGGCGACAGAGGGTGGCAAGCTAGCATTGAAGTACGAAGGGCCCTACATCGTCAGTGCCGTGGTCAAACCCGGCACCTACAAGCTTAAACGCCCGAATGGGTCCAATGTACCACGAACATGGAATGTACACCATCTGGTGAAGTTTTATCAGTAATCCGAAGGAGGTGTAGACGGCGAAGCCCTCACCTCTTAACGGGTCACTGATTGAATGCCACCCTCGGCCTCGAGCCACTTATGAATAAAATCATGTTCCTGATTTTTTCTCTGGAATTTAAAGTAAAACATTAGCAGGTGCCCCGTCGGCCACCTTAGAGCGAAAGGCTCAGGCATGGCCGACGTGGCCCCTTGCATTTGCAGCCTACGAGCGACAAGCTCTGGCACTCCATTGTATTTTGTATCAGCGAAGGGCTCAGGCCTAGCTGAGAGAGCACATCGTCCTGGCCCCGTAAGCCTAGAAGTGAAACGCTCAGGTATGGCCGACGATTTCCCCAGGACGAGGGGCCCGCAAACGGCCCACGTCTTGAAACGGGAAGCTCACCGCGTCGTCCACGCGCTAGATCGCAGGACGACACGCCTGAAATCATGGCCGAGGTGACAAAATCCCAAAACTCAGGGAAGGGCAACGACAGCCGTTGGAAACCGACCAAAAGTCTAGTCCGCGTCATAAATAGGCGACGGGACCCGCCCTGAGATTACGGACGTTATAAACGAAGTCCGAACCGACCGAAGGACGAGCACACCCTTCGGCCGAAGCCTGAAAGAAGGATACTCCCCGAAAGCAAAAAAAAAATATACAAGGGAAAAAGAGGGAAGCCGACGGCCGTGCACATTAGCCGGCCTCGAGCAATGAAAAAATAAAATCCCCACAACTCAGGCCAACTAGGCCAAGTACATATCAGTTCAACACAAGTATAGTACCACTGACAGGTAAACATGGACGACACGTCCACGCACCACAAGGGAATGGTCAAGGCCGAAACATACGCCTATAAAACCCTAACCAAATCGGTTGGGTGACACGCGAGAGGTAACCTTCATCGGCCACAGCCCTTTGAAGCACCAACGCTCGGTATGAAACAAAGAACCACAATCCTGAGGATGACTAGGACGAAGCGGGCACTTATCACACCCATGGAGGAATCAAGCAATCAAGAAACAATCCCTACTTGCCACAGCACCCCGGATAGCCGATACAGGCACTGGAACCATGGCTGTTGGTCAAGCGAAAGTTCTTTGGGAATTTGTTCAAGTGTTTACCAAACACTTAGAGAATTCTGAGGAAAAAAGTTCCTCAAGAAGGAACTATGCCTTAGCCGATGAAGGAAGGGTCTTCATCTTGGGGAAAGCAAGGGGCATCCTCATCGGCCACAAATCCAGACCTGTGGCCGATGATGGTAAGGCCACCTCCTAGCCGGCAGCGGTACCACAAAGAAGGAACTCTGTCTTACATTTATACTTAGAAAAATCTCTAAGTACTTAAATGGAGGAACTGTAGACGAAGCGGGTACCTGCATACTCCAAGGTCGTTAGCTACCTACGCCTCGCATATGTACTTAGAAAAAAAATCTAAGTTCAAAAAAGTAAAGTGAAGGTGCCCTTATCGGCCACAGCACAAGGATCCAGGTCGACCCTCATAATCAGCTCAGAAACAAGGGAACACGACGGCCATGAAAAAAAGTACTGGGCCGACAACGACACTGGTTCAAACACTTGGGAAATCTCCCAAAGCATTTGTCAACAATGAGAAATCCAATGCCAGGACGATGAGAACACCCATCCACTTGAAGTTAGACACTCAGAAAAATTCTAACAAAAAAAAGAAGAATGGGACAACGCCAGGACGGAGCGGACACCACGGTCAAGGCCGGAAAGGGAAGCACCTAAGTGGATCCAAAACACTTAGGAAATTTTTGGAAAAAAAAATCCTAAGTGTTATGATAGTACAGCAACACCGTGCAGGCCGACCAAGCCACCAGACCGGAAAGGAAGCAACTACGTGGACCCAAAACACTTAGGAATTTTTTGAATAAATCCTAAGTGTTATGATAGTAAAGAAACGATGGCCAGGCCGACCAGGCCACCGGACAGGATGGACTACCCCACGGACGTAACGGACAATAGCGGGTGACCCAAGTTGTAACCTTGACACTTAGACAAATTTCAGAAGTGAAATGACAAAAGGCAATAAGCATACAAGGAATTCAAAGCCGAAGCAGGACAGCAAAAATTTCCATTCATAATCAAATTAGTACAATGGGGGGCACTTCGGCCATTACATCAATTCGGCAAAAAATGAAAAGCTAATTACAAGGGAGCGGGGAGTAGCCGATCAAGCCTCTTGGGCATCTCCATCCGCGGCTGGCTCTTCGACGTCCTCGGCTCCCTCCTCGGCCTCAGCCTCCTAGCCGCCGGCAGCCGCAGCACTGGTGGCATCGTCGAGGAAATCAAACTACGTGTAATCCGGCTCGCCGAGGCCGGAACTCTCAATGGGGGACTCGCGCTCCGACAGCGGAAGCTTGGCCTGCTCTTCAGGATCCTTCATCAGCTTTGGAAGCTTCAGGTTCCGTCTAGCCCACCCAGACGTGTAATTCATGGCCTTCAAAGCACGAGATAGCCGCCGACACAGGAGCCTTTGCATCCGCTCCTGGCCCATGTTATAGTACACGGCCATCTCTCTGCTGAAATACTCCTGGTCGGCGGGGGAGTTCATCCCTCAATCTTCAAGCCTGGCGGCAACCACCTCATAGCACCAGGGGAGCCTCTCATCGGCCTTCCACCCTTCGGCCAGGACCTGCTCAATGGCCTTATCAGCAGCCTTCACAGCGACAGCCTCGGCCTCAGCTCTCGCCTTCACGGCTTCCTCGTTCTTGCGCCGCTCGGCCTCAAGCGCCCTTTGGCTCTCTTCGAGTTTGACCAGGGCATCGTCCCTGGCTGCGGCGGCCTCGTCGGCCTTTTGTTGCAACGCCTTAGCATCCTCCCGGAGCCGATCCAGGCAAGCTACCGCCTCATCGGCCGAGGCAGCCTTCTGCTCCAGCTCTTTCAAACGAGCTATCTCCCGATATTGCCTCTTGTGGCTCTCCATGAGCATAAAGGCACTCTGCAGAAAAAAGGAAAACGAAACTCAGGCAAAGGACTCTACACGGACGACGAGAAAAACGACACATAAGAAGGAAAATAACTTACTTGGACGAGGAGGTCCATGCCGCCCTCGTACACCTTCACGTCCCCGAGCTTCTTCAGGTAAGCCCGATCTTTGGCCGGCATGGCCTGGGCCAGCACATCATGGCCGAGGACGGCATCGTCAAACACACCCCCGCCGACGGGGTATTCCACCACCTTCTGGTAGGTGGCAGCGGCGATCTCCTTGCCAGCCCTCTTCGTCCGTGGCTCATGAACGATAGGGAGCGATTGGGCGGCATCACTTGGAGCAGCAGTAAGGTCCACGAGGGGACCACTATCGTCCACGCTCGGGACAGTCAGAGTACTGGCCTCGGTAGCAGGGGAAGGAAACGGTGCCCTCTTCGTCTTCTTGGCGACGTTCAGGCCGGCCTCAGTCAATTTTTTCTGGCCGTCAGTGGCCGGCCTCTTCTTCTTCGATTGGGCAGGCTTTGGGGCCGCACCAGCAGTAGCCCCGCTTCCCTCGGCCGCGGCACGTCTGGCCGCCTCGGCCGCCTTAGCAGCCAACTCCTCGGCCGCTTTGGCCTTAGCAATAGCCATTATGGAACGACGATCCATGACAAAATCTACAAAGGAAAAACAACACATTAGCAAGGAAAAAGAACAAATCATAAAGGAAGAAAGCCGAAGAAATAATTACCATCGGCCTCAGCAGGAATGCCCAAGTCCGGACCGTCGGCCTCTTCGAAGGTGGTGGTCATCCTCGGCCAGAGTTGGATGTCATCCTCCTTATCGCCATACACATGGTATCTAAAGAAGCCGAGGGCGGTCATCTTGTATTCAGTAATGTAATCCTTCACGCTCCTCGGTCCCCCTTCCAGGAAAGCCTCCACCTGAGCGTCCAAGATAGAGCTCTTCGGCGGGTCATGGAGATTGAACCTCCCGGTATGGCCGAGAGAGGGAAACTCGGTGCCACTCTCACCAAGGGATACAAAAACGAACTTGCTCTTCCACCCATGAATGGGCGAAGGCAAGTCCGTGAAGCTCCTCTTCTTCGGCAGCTGTTGAAGAGTAGCATAGGCCGCACAGTTCTTGTGGCTTCCTCGGCCGATCTGGTACAGATTCATGAATAGGGCCGTCGTCGGCCTGTAGCCCAGCTCCTCACAGCGGAGCAGAAACCCCACCATCAAAGAATAGCTGTTCGGCGTCAGCAAGGCCGGAGGGAGCCCGATCATGTCAAGGTATTCAGTGATGAAGGGGTGAAGGGGAAACCTCAACCCCTTAGCGAAACTCATCGGGTATACTCCAAAGTATCCCGGTGGCGGAAGAAGAACATGGTCCGTCGGCCTGGGTGCCCTAACCCGCCCGAACGGCCCCACGTACATCTGGGCAACAAGGTAGTCGGCCGCGCTGCTCTCCGGCTTAATCAGGAAGATATTTGTGAGATCCAGATAGGAGATGCCAGGCCCACTCTTCGGCCTCCTTATCCTTTTCGGCTTACCGGCTCCCTTAACGGCGGACACCGGCCTCGAGCACGGAATAACAGCTGAAGTGGACGCCCCGTCCACCACTCGGGACGCAGCTGCGTCCTCACCTTTTGAAGATGAGGCGGACTCCTCGTCCTCACCCTCGTCGTCCACCGGCTCTTCGGATTTGTAGGGACTTAAGTGTTGTATCTCCTCCTCGAACTCCTCGAGCACCTCATAGTCGAGTGACCTAGTGGAGGGCTAGTCGTCGTACGGATAGTAGTCTTCGTTCAAGCTCTTCATCATAACTACTACTACGAGCCTAAGGAGATTAACTTAGGATCTAAGGGTGTTCAAGCGCCTAACACTAGATCACTAGCCTAGGAAGCAAAGTATGAAAAGTGCAGAAGATTGCGATGAACACTAACCTTGAACACGAAGAACACGAAGAACAAGCTTGTGAGTTTATCTCTCTAGAAAATTGGCCAGCACTTCGACAAATTCAGAATACAAATGAGAGTTTTGGTCGAAGGGGGAGGGGTATTTATCGAACCCCCCACCCAACGGTCACTACACGTGACATCCTCCCAATGGCCACATCAACGGCCACCAATGGGAGGCCACCACGTCACCAACGGGCCAAGCTACATATCAACAGCCCACCGGCAAATCAGACTCTACGGCCTACACGCTTGCCGGCTTTACAAATGCCAACAAGCGCCCACAACGGCCTACTTGCCTGCAAGATCACAGATGTCAGACAATGAGGGGATGCCAACGGCTAGGAACGTAATGAGAGCCCGTAACGACCACAGAACCAAAGGAACAAAGAACCCACAGCCATCGGCTCCTCGTAATGACCCTTGATGATAACTCTCTACAAGCGATCTGCGCACAAGGGTTCTCCCACAGGGTTACCTTGGCCAAAAAATCGCCATGAGAGTTGGATTCAGGGGGACTACGGAGAGACCGTTTTGGCCAGGGACTAAAGCAACTCCTTCACCCCTCACGCTCTTCGGCCTGAAGCAGTGGGGGACTGGGGGACTACACCGGCCTCAACAAAACAAAAGGAAAAAATGCAAACACAAATGTAACAAAGCATGGCCACATCGGCCATACATCACACTGCGCCTCGTCGGCCAAAGGCACATAACGTCATCAGCAACGGCCAACTGGCCACCTAAGGTAAGGACACTCATCGTCCTCCGCCAACAGTTAATCATGATGGGCTCTTCGGCCAGGGACACGAAAGCCAGTCAGCTACGGCCAAAAAGAGTGCGCAAGCACCCTTACCGGCCACCCAAAGGAAAGGACGCCATCGTCCTCGAAGCAAGGATCAACCTCAACGGCCTCATTGGCCCAAAGGTAAACTTCAGCCATCAACGCCCAAGAAAAACGTGCCTTCAACGGCCACCATGGAAAGCAGGACACTCATCGTCCCAAAACGAAGACATCAAGTAAACAACGGCCTCCTCGTCCACAACAAGGAGCAGGTAACGGCCAAGCACGGGATCACCAAAATGGAAACAGCGCCAACGCCGCAACAGCTAACGGCCCGGGAATGCCCGCATTGGCCAAAAGCACCAAAGCACGGGAATCTACTCTCCTTCACTTCGTCGGCGTCTCAGCTTAGAGAGTGGGGGACTCCTGATGGAGTATATGGGTCCGAGCCCCCGGACCCACATACTCGGAAGAACAGAAAGCACAGACACTGAGTGGCGCTCTCGTCGGCCAAGGGACCCCCGTCGGCCGAAAAGGTGTCAACTCAGATTATGGTCCTGAGCCCAAGGAGCCCGGGTGCCCTCGTCGGCCGCGCTCTCGTCGGCCGTGCCCTCGTCGGCCACGCCCTCGTCGGCCACGCCCTCGTCGGCCACGAAGACCTCACAGAACCGGATTTTACACTTACTTATTTGTACAGCCCATTAGTGACTTTGTATTCGGCCCAGTAGCGGTCCAGTTGTAAATGGGCCTCCCAAGCCCAAGGCTTGGGAGCCCAGCCCGTATTTTCTCTATAAATACTCCCCTTGGGAGTAGTTATAGGGATTACAAATTCATTCTATTGAAGCATATTATTGCACTTCTCTCTCTAGCTCTCACTTCTCTCTAGATATACTCTATCAAACAGTTGCATCCTAGAAAGCCCAAAAATCGTTGTCATTAAGATCTCCCATGGTGTCTTCCAAAGAGCGACGACAATCGATTCACCACGCCAAAAAAACAAGCTTCACCGTCGTCCTTAGCCAGAAAAGCGGAGAAGACCACCTGCGAGAAAAGAGCGGAGAAGAAAATGGGGGAGTGGGTGCGTTGATTTTCTGTGGGAGGGAGACTGGCGCGTGTGGGATTGAGGTGGGGAAACATGTCTTCTTGTTGGCTTTTGGATTAGAAACATTGATATGAAGAATTGCAAGAATTACCTTCTCACATCTTAGATGATCGGCTAACAAGGCTGTTCATGTCATAGTAAGGGTGGCGGATACTATAACTGATTGCCGAATTTAATTATTTAATCCCTCTAGCTCTATTAGCGATGTACCCTATTAAAATTTAATCAATACTAGTTGAGTTGTTATATTGCAAAAGATAATGTATTGTAAAAAAATTAAAATTACTTTAAAATCCGGTTTTTTAGGTTAACTAATGTTTCATCGACCCACCTCTAGACTAAGGTTTCCTATGTTGGGCGGGATATTTTGGTTTTCACACATTTTGAGATTTTTCCTAAATTAATTCACTTTTTATGAGATTTGTTGGTTTCCAGGTGGACTCGCAGAGTTGCCCATCCGAGGCCGGTCGTTCAAACATAGCACAAAATTTGAACAAAAGTGCAAACATACAACGTATGTAATTAGGTAAATAGTGTATTAAAATTAAAAATAATTACATATTTATGACTAAAATAGAGATTGTTTATGACTATTAATTAGTTTGTAGTCCTTCCGCCCCCAAAAGAATGTCCTACTTTTTCAAATTGGAAATCCCTAAATGAATGTCTTACTACTTTAACTTCCTTACTCCGTATTTGGTAAACAATTCTACATCAAACGGTGCAAAATAGTGTCAAACAGTGTCACACGGTGCATTATACAATAAAATTTACCACACAGTAAGTTCATTTTCTTAATATGTGTGAAGTGAAACTAGGACAATCTTTCGGGGACGGAGGGAGTATATGCCATTTTTACTTTTAATTTTATACGATAATTTATTTTGACAAATAACTTACATGTATAAAATAGATTTTACGATTTTCAAAACTGTATTTTCAAAATTTTCAAACCTAAGTACCGAATATGTGACTATTTAAAATCAATTCGATAATACTTTGGATAAAATTCCTAATGGAAAAAATTACACAAATATTACTAGTTTAAACTACACTAACAAAAATATGACTTTGTGCCCTAACTTACTCCCATGATGTTGTACATGTTCTGTATTAATTGTCACCTTATTGTAACTCCATATATACCGTTGATAATATTTATGTAAGAATATCTTAATAATGGTAATGATAGTACCTTAATGTGAGAGACACTTATGAAGTACATTAATAATGATAAGAGTTAATGACTCAAATAGAACTAATAGCAAAGTTAATTGTACATTTAGGACCACAAACGAAACACAACTTTCATAGGACCAATTTCATTACATTTGGACAAAAATACCCCTCTTTTAATTTATTAAATTTTAAAACTGTAAAATAAAAATTTATTGAAACCCTAGCAGTAGCCCTGCCGCCACCAGAGCCAAACCGCCTGCCGCCACCCCTCACCGACGCAACCTACGACCACCCCTCGCCGGCGCAACCTGCCGCCGCCCTCTCCGGAGACGACGCCCCCTGTCGCCGCCCTTGTCGTCTACCATATGCCACCACATCATTGCCGATGCACCGTCGCCATCAATCGCCGCCCCTTGCCCCTTCCCACACCAGCGTCGCTAGGAGTGGGCACGATTGGTTAACCGCATTTTGGTTAACCAATTTTCGGTTAACCGTGATATTGGTTACGCAATTTTATATATCGTTACCCGTACCATAACATTTGTTAACCGGATACCGGTTAACCAATATTTCGGTTAACCAATAACAGTTAACCAATAAACCGAAAGAGAAAGATAAAATTACCAATATTCTTGTTGTTTTAAACTTTGTACATACGGAGCACAATTTTTTAAAGAGAATTAACCCACATATGACTAAAATTTAATGTGTTTCCCAAAATATGACTTCTATCTTTTTTCTTCCCAATATGATAGTGTTTCGTATGTATAAAACTAATATTTAATCATATTTTGGGATGTACAAAAGTAGTAGTCATATATTCTGAAATTGTCAATGTTTTAGTCATATATTAGTAAATATCCCTTTTTTAAACGTAGAGCTAGCCAACTAGGCAACTAGTTTTTTTTTGACAGATAGCTATATAATAATACAGTAATACATACTCCGTAGTTTTTTTTGACAGATTGCTTTTTTTAAAGTAGAGCTTCCCAGCTAGGCATAATAATAATACGCAGTAATAATAATACGGAGTAACTATACAGAGCAACACTATATGTACGTATTATAATATATTCCACATGATTGTTTGGGAGGGAACTGGAAGCATGAGCACAATTTTCATGGGAAGCACGTCGCAGCTCGGCGCAAATGTTACAAAACATGTACATGTTGGTTAACCGGTATTAACATAATCTTAACCATAACCGTATCATAACCGTTTTTTCTTTGCGGTTGGTTAACCGTACCGTAAGTTTTTAAACAATCTGGTACGGTTAACCGGAAAATACATCGGTTTTTCGGTTTTTTGGTTTGGTTAGTCGGTTACGTTATTTTGTGCCCACCCCTAAGCGTCGCCATCTATGCCATCACTATCTGACTGGCGTCACCATCCACCCAAGCCACCATCCTCTGAGCACCACCACAACAATGACAACTCAGGCGGAATAATCTGCCATTAACTTGGCAGATTTAGCATTGGAGATTAGATTCACTTCTGCCATGAACAAGTGTTTCAGATCTACCAAAAAAGTTGGCAGATTCAACTTGGTATCATAACACAAAACTGCCATAAATTTGGCAAAAATAAAAAAAACATTAAGTAAATAACCAAATATTCAAACAACTAAAAATTTTTAATGGAACAAGCATTTTAACACAACCACAAATTAGAAAAACGAAGCTATTAGACAAAAAAATAATAGAAAAAACAACTTATACCAAAACATTTCTTCCATAATATGATTGTAAGTGTACACATTTTTGCCATAAACTTGGCCAAATCTGAAGCAATCATCCAAAAATTATGAAAATCGATTTTTTTTAACTCTGAAATTAAAAATTAAAAAATCGAAATAGAAGTCTAAAAAACTGGAAAAATCAATTCAAAATTCAGAGAAATGGAGGAAAATCGAGGAGAAGAAGAAGAAGGAGGAGAAGAAGAAGAAGAAGAAGAAGAAGAAGAAGAAGAAGAAGAAGAAGAAGAAGAAGAAGAAGAAGAAGAAGAAGAAGAAGAAGAAGAAGAAGAAGAAGAAGAAGAAGAAGAAGAAGTGAAAGAGGAAGTGAAAGAGGAAGAAGAAGTGCAAGAGGAAGAAGAAGAAGAAGAAGAAGAAGAAGAAGAAGAAGAAGAAGAAGAAGAAGAAGAAGAAGGATGGGGGAGAACCTTAGTGGCAGCGGTGTACGGAGAAATCAGCTGCAGCGGCGGCGGCGACGATGGCTAGGGTAAAGTCGGTCGATGATATGCAGTGAAGGAAGAGGGGAAGCAGTTGTGCGCAGAAAATGGGAAAGCAGTTGTGCGCAAGGGAGAGAATAGATGAGCGTAAAAACGATAAGGGGGTGATAATGGAATAGAAAATATGGATGTTTCAAATAGGAGTAAAAGAGTTCTATTTGAGAAAAAAATTGATCCTATTTGAGAATTTCTAATCCTATATGAGGTAATTAGTCAAAATTCACTTATTTTAAAATTCAAAAGAATCCAGACCATTTACTCCGTATATTTCGATCACTATAGAGTATAGTAATTGAGATTTCCATGATTTTTTATGTGGCACGGGTCCTCTGACTCGAATGAGAATGGAATAGTCAGAAATAGAAATTATTTTCACATGAACTCACTCCATAAAGGAAAAAAGGAAACGCGATGGTAGTAGGTATGATGAGAAATGGTGGTTCAAATAGCGGAGGAGATAGCCTGAAATTTCTCTCACAAAAGTAGTACACACGAATTCACAGCATTCCAGCTACCTACCTGTCCTGCTCCTCTCTCTACTGGCTATCTTCTGAGTTCTGACCCAGGTATGATCACTCACAGCTACCCTACAAAGCCCTTCGCATCACTCCCTGCTGCCGTGGGAGGGAGGCGATCTCTTCTTTTTGAGTTTTTCGTGCTCCGTAACTATTATTCGCATATTAGCTTTTCCCTTTTCGAATTTTGGGTTCTGGATCTGCTCTTTGATAATCAGGATTACAGAGTGATTTTTAGGTTCTGTTTTGCGGCAATTGGCGTACGGTGGTTCATTGTACGCTTTTTCAGTATTTTGGGCTAGTGTCTTCATGTGATTATAAAAAAGAAAGGAATTATGAGCAGCTATTTTTTATTAGTCTATATATGGAGTATATCGTGTTTTAATTATGGTTTCTGGGACACCTGGCTTGTAAGTTATGCTGATTAAAATATGCTTCAACTTCACTTGTATGTTTGTCAAGGTTTTTATATTTCACATTCATCTTAATGTGAATGAAATAAGAGAGTAAACAAAGTTACAAAGATCAGGTTTTGTTTTAATAGAAGTGTGTTATGAACAATTGAAGTTACCCAAGAATGTGATATGCAGAAAGCTGGTTTTGAAGTTTTGCTTTGTTTCAAGTGTTATTCCGTATTAAAATTGGATTATGGATTCTACTTTTTGTTGGGAGGTCAGGGATTGAATGACTTTAAGGTCATCTTATATTGTTACCTGAGAGATTCATCTTAAGTGGTGGTTGCTTAGTTGCTACTTGCTAGACATGCTTTAAGGGTGTTGGAGGTATTGGAGTGGAAAACTTTGGAGGGCTTTGTTTATATCTTGATAAATTCAAATGATCCGAAAACAAATAAGAGATGATTGAAATGTTACACTTTTACATATTATGTTATTTTTTGATTTTGTGAAATCTTAGATATATATAATGATATAGACTGGTGCTCCAAAAGAAGACTGCGTAAAAACCGTTTATACCTTTATAAATCTTATTACTTCGTTTATTTTTCTTTGCATCAATAAGATCTTTTTTCCCTGTCCCGCAAATATTTAGTTTCATTCTCTTCTCTCTTCTGTTGAAATTTCATGTTTTGTGAAATAATACAGTCTAAAAAGTTTGTACTTTGAATTTTGATAAAGTTCTTCTCTTTTAGTGATCAGAGTTTACAGGGAAAAGACCGAAAGAGTTGATAATATTATTTCGCACCATCAGCATGTTCCGTCGGAGAAGTTCTCATCATGAGCAGGATGAAGATAATGTGTTGCAGAAGGTAATGAAGGTTTCATATTCCATTGTTTATATTAAGAGCTTATGCAAAGCTTCTTTTTTAGTGCTTAAATAAATTATAACATTATAATTTTAATTCATGATTTTAATTTTAATATCTTCTTGCAGGTTAGTGAACTAAGGACTTCTCTTGGACCACTATCAGAACGCAACTTGCATTACTGCACGGATGCATGCTTAAAGAGATATTTGCTGGCAAGGAGATCTAATGTGGATAAGGCAAAAAAGATGCTTGAAGAGACGCTAAAATGGAGGTCAGCATTCAAACCTGAAGAAATTCGTTGGGTAAGGGTCACATGTTCTGCATCTTTGTGTCACGTGGGATACTCTGGTTGTTTGTTTTTCTGTATTTTAAAATCTGGTTCAACCGTGTTTTTCTATTGATGGTTCTTTTGATCAAATGACATTATTGAATTTATTAGCACGAAGTTGCAATGGAAGGGGAGACTGGAAAGTTGTTCCGAGCGAGTTTTCATGATCGCTTTGGCAGGACTGTTCTCATATTGAGACCAGGAATGCAGGTAAAATGCCTTAACAATTTACTTTTGTTCCATTTTTTGGAGCGGGTGGGATATATCTTATGGCTTCTTTGATTGGGGGATATGAAGGGGGTGGAAAGGAGGATTTTTTTGTTCGACCAATTTATCTCTATTTGTTCATCTTAGGTTAGAAAATTACCATGTCTTTAGATTAATAATGTATTTCCACCTATTTTTTCATCTTCAATTTCTTTTCAACCATCTAACTTTAGACTAGTTTAATTTATTAATAAAATAAATACCAATTGTCATTTTTAGGCTTTGAGCGTTTATTTATATCTCAGGCCCTCAAGTGTAATGCCTAATGGTTGGTGTTTATATTTAACAGAATACAACATCAATTGAAAACCAGATGAAGCATTTGGTGTATCTCATAGAAAATGCTATACTTAATCTTCCTGAAGGACAAGAGCAGATGGCGTGGCTGATAGACTTCACTGGATGGTCTATAACCAATAATGTCCCTCTCAAAACTGCCAGGGATTCTATAAACATATTGCAAAACCACTACCCAGAAAGACTAGCTGTGGCCCTTCTATTCAACCCTCCACGAATTTTTGAAACATTTTGGAAGGTTTGCTTCTAACAAACATGATTTTTTTTTTTTGCGATGGAGGTAGTATTATGGTTACTTTTTGTAATGTCTGTTGTGTTAATGGATCCATGAGGTAGGCCATTATTCAATAGTGATAAATGAATGACTTGCATTCTTATTAGTTCATCTACCGAACATTAGGTTAACCAATTTCGTCCTTGATTTTGGTTTTGAGACAATTTTTTCTCGGACCACTTGAAAGGACTGAAATGCCCTACTCAGTTAGAACAAATTATGCTTGAGGACTACTTTGTGTTCATAATGCATAGTCAAGGGACATTTGTTTTTTACGATGCTTGGGTTACGGGGATTTACTCCATAGATTACCATTTCATGGTCAGTTATGCAAAAACACTCGTTTTATACTTATCACCATCCAAGTAACTGATTTATGTTATCACTTCCTGCAGATTGTCAAATTCTTTTTGGATCCGATTACTTCTCAGAAAGTCAAATTTGTGTATCCTAAGAACAAGGATAGCATGGAAGTGATGAAATCTTACTTTGATGTGGACAATCTTCCAACTGAGTTGGGTGGAAATGCTGCGATGAAGTACGACCATGAGGAGTTTTCCAAACTAATGGCACTGGATGACATTAAGACTGCCAAGGTATGGGGCCTGGAGAAACCCAACTCTGTTTCCAAAGTCGTATCTGGTGCAGAAGTTGCCCCGGAAGCGTAATGACACTTCATAGTCCAAAACGCTGAATGTTCCTAACTAATTAGCCCACATAATAATTCTTTCTCAGTGTTTTGCTCTGAGGCATGTGTTTGGTATCCGTATATTATGTGCTATTGTAGAAAAACTTGTCTTATGAGAAGCTATGTAGAGGATCAGCTGCGGCTCGAATGCCTAATACTCTGTGATAGGATCCTTTCTGAAAATTGCCAAGTATAACACAGCATATTTTTTTGTAACTTTAAATCGTCTTATGCTGGCATTCATAACCAGATATGGTTGGATCTTGATGATAATATAATGCAAAGTATTATTATAGGAGTCTAGGTCTGGTTTTTTCCCTTTTTAAACCAGGTTAAAATGTTTTCTTCTATAGCATTAGAGAAAGATCTTAATTTTTTACCCAACCCCCAAGACTTGAGAGTAAGTATAGTACTATAGTAGGACATTAGATACAGGCATTATAGGAAGCCAGGATCTGGAGCTACTGCCTCGCTTTAGAGCAAGATAGTATATAATAAAGCCAAACATTTGAGGTTTGTTTCTTGTGGTACAAGAGGAAAACGATTTTTCTCAAGTAAAAAGCACCGAATAGTCACTCAATAGAAGGTCCAGATAACTATATGATGGAACTCAATAGGTTTTGTAGTTATCTAGACTCTCTTATATTAACTCCTATGTGCAATAATCACAATATGGTTATGTTTTCTCCCAACACGTAGTATGTTTTAAATTGGATTAAAACTTTTTAGTTTGATTTGATGTGGTAAAATTATATTTTATGTATACTTTACTATTACCTGAGTCTAGTTGAATTGATCTATTTAAGTCTAATTTGATCTGGTCTGATATAATTTGGTTTGAGACTAAAATTAGGTCAATTAAAAACATCATTAAACCTGCATTGAATAAGGTGGTTCTTCATCCTCACCATGAAAGTATTCAATTAGCCTCTGATACTTGCTGTTATATTCATTTGTCAATTTGAAACTTCCATACGAGTAACTATTAAGATAGAAAAACAAATGCAAAGAAACCGTAGGATCACAGAATATAGTTATGTAGAAGTACAACACTTGTTTGATATTTTCTTGACTATTTACTATTTAGTTTCAAAATTGTTGCAAGAATAAAAAAAATCGATCAAGCAATTTTAATGTGGTGACTACATTTCTTAGTTGTGAGTTGTGACTACTGAATGTTAATATATTTCAGTGATTCTTTAGAGTAAATTTCAATTCTAGACCTACATGTATGATCGATTTGTGGCTTATCAAGTATCAAATGTGACCCTAACTTTAAAAAGAGATAATTACCATATGTATGATCAAAAGATCCTACCTTTCTCAACATATGTGATATGATTACATTTTTTATTTGCCTTGTCATTTATATGCACCACAATTTTACATATGTGATTGTATTTTCATACAATTTACTTGAAATTTAATACTGAGTTGGTTTCTTAAAACTCTTTTAAAAAGTTGATCTTTTTGGGGTACGAGTTGGTTTCTCACATCTAGTGGTGGACCTCGGTCCAATTCCAGTCCCTAGAGCAGACAGTCTTACCTTTTATGTATAGGAGCCTGGGATCTGGAACTGGATCTGAAATTCCATCTAGTTCCACTCAACCATCCGCTCTACAGTTCACTATTTTAGATTTCGAATTTCTAATATCTTTCACCAGTGACCAGTCTTCCTCTATCTTCATCTTCTTCCTTGAAACTGCTCTATCAATGAATATACTAAGCGCATCAAATGCAAGTATACGTGAAAGCTAGTCTATGAGTGAAACCTTGCAACATATAAAAGGAGGGTACATGGTGCTGCCGGTGTCTCTGCTGTGTGTCGTGTGATGGATGAGGGGCGTGACGACCTCATCTACACATAGATGGTAGGGTGTGTTGTTGTCTTTTCCCCGCTGGTGGTGACATATCTTTTCAGGATAAGGTTGCTTATTTGAGGGGACTATAGACAAGGGTGATCCTCATTGATTAATGTTAGAAGCCTTAGTAAGTGATCTGGACAGTTTTTGGGTGGTGGTACCTTGGTCTAGCCAAGAGTTGAGAGTATTTGAGATGATAGGGACTCGCTTTACCATTGAAGTACTGTGTATGTAACAACATTAGTCCCCTTGCATGTATGATGCATCTGGTGTGGAATATGCACAAAAGGGGTGCTGTTGTACTTGAATCCTTGAACATTCAGTACTTCGTTGAGTGCAAAGTTAAAATCCACTTAAAGCGGTAATTATTGGAATTTATGTAGACCAGAGTGTAATCGCTCAGAGAGAGCATAATTTAATTAAATGTATTATCAGTGTTGTTTTAAAGAACATTAACTACAAATCATGTCATCAGCAGATCAATAATTCAGTTATGAATATTTTCCAGATGGGAATGACCCATCACATTCGAAAAACTATAAGCATTTGCCAGATATAGGAACATTTTCCCTTTTCTGTTACTCAGTTTAAGTGATCAAGATCCAAGGCAGTCCTTGACACCCTGTTCAAACATGTTGAGAGAAAATAGTGTCTCCTTAAGCGCATCTGCTATCTTTTTTCTGTAGCAAAAATAAAAATGTGACACCCACAAGGAAACTTTCACTGACTCATGGTTTAGGGTTTGTTTGTTTGGTGCTAAACTTCTGCATTGGGATATACTATAGGAAGAATGGAAGATTGATACTAGATGGTGGTTGCATAAGTTCAATATGAAATACTACCTGTTGGAAGCAACTTGAATATCAAGTTCACTTGTCATGCCATTGAGCGTATCAAAGCATCTGCAGCCATAAGGTAATTCAGAATTAGAAAATAACCAATTGGAAAACTTTTGTGGCTATGACTATTCCGTACTCTATATGGGTAGAGTAATTGCAAATATACTAATCTTATTCTAGGAGTAAATAACATCCCAGGAAGAAAATATAAGTGATCCTATTTAGGAATAAGGATTAACTTGAACTCTTAGTATAACAATTCCTAATGAACAATTAATCCAGCACAATGACATGACTGGTTGGGCTATCAAAATTTAAAATTGTGATTATCTACCGTATTAGGTCATTGAGCTTGGATTCAGCATTCAGTTTTAGCGGATCCTTGTCATCAAGTAAAGAAGAAGCATTCTTTAGAATCAGCTGGAATGTGCAGACCTGGACATTCATTAAGTGCCTTAAAACATCGAAGCATATAAAACATTTATAACATACAACAACAACATAAAACAGCTGGAATATGCGTGTTCTGCAAAATCTGCAATGATGTGATCAACGTGTCCACAACTTTATTCTTAACATACAACAACAAAATTATCCCATCTAAAATTGTTTCACATAGAAATTGTTTCAGAATCACCCATAATGAAAATCACATCTAAAATTACTCCTGCTTTATAACAAAGAATCACAGAATCATTTTCTCAAACCCAAAAACAATGAGTCTTTGGCTTCATGGTAAATGATGGATATTTTATTCTTAACATGGTAAAAATTTAATAAGAAAGCTTTACTTTCAAAATTTATTGAAGTTCACATCCATATTCTCCCCCATCTAAAAATGAGAATAAGAAGTACAAATCAATAGCCTAGTGAAGGAGGGTACCTCTACTCCAGTTTGGGATTGGAACTGGACAAACGAGTTTCTATCTCGAGGGATGCAATCCCTAGCAGCAGAATTTAGCAAGCTCTGAATTTCTTCCAAGTCATTTCCACCCAATTCCGGTCCATCATTCACTGTCAAAGTCGATACAATCAATTACAGATCTGCAACACTTTTTAAGTTAATACTTCGTATATGGCAAAAACATAATCTGAGCAGATTAGAGAATCACATAAATGAATTTTACCAAGCAAAAGATGGGCCGCCTGGAGGGTATTGCGAGAGGCATCAACGGGAGCCAATAAGAACTTAGCCGATTTCTTCTTCTGCTCTTTAAGCCACTGCTTTGGTCCTGCTGAAAATCAAGCAATAAAAAAAGTATAAGTTAGTTAGAACTACGATACAGATTATGTATAAGGAGATAAAACCATGAATATGTACAGAAGCTAAGCGATAATGCCGACGCTGCGGATGGAAAGTGGAGAGAAGGGAGGAGGGCAGTGACTGGTGAGAGTAAAACGACGGCGTTGCGGCGGGAGATCAGTTTTCCGCCGGGTTGCGGTGAAATGTTGCCGTTCGGCGGGAGCGAAGCGGAGGCAACTGTGGCGGTGGAAGCGATTGGTAGTGGCATCGAGGCGGCTTCTAATTACAGTATTTCACAATATACAAAGTTCAACGCCGAAAATGCATATCGCGCGCTAGTTCTAAAATCAACAAAAATAAAAATGGAGATGCGGGGGATCGAACCCCGTGCCTCTCGCATGCAAAGCGAGCGCTCTACCATTTGAGCTACATCCCCAATTTATTGATTCAATTATGTTTTATCAATACGACATTTTATCACATGTTTACAAAATACATCTCCAATTTGCTTAGTGTATAGTTATGATAAAAATGATAATTATAATATCGTTATCATTATCTCTACAAGATTATAAGAGAGAATGTTGTTAAGGGTATAACGACCATATGAAAAATGTTGGTGTCTCTCATTGCATAAACTTAATGTACATAATGTTTCTTTTGTTGCACTTTTCTAACTTTCTATTTAACGGCCGTGTCTTACCCTTCATTAGTTTAGCACAGTTAATACTTCCGTACGTTTATTGATCTGTCCTCTGGTATCTCAATCCACTACGGGTGAGAGGCCTTTTTTTTGTTTCTTTAAAAAGAAACTAGCACTCTTTCATTTAAATTACGGTAGTTGCTTTTATTACACCCGTCAAAAGCCATATATCCTCTTTTTTGCTCCAAAAGTTCACTTGTTCGTAAGGCTTTTCAATGTTTTTGTTGATTGTTCTTGTAAGTTTTTTTTTCTCTATTCATACAATTTACATTTTACATTTTCTATTGATTATAAGTTTTACTTTTTCCAATGCCCTTGCTTCAATTTGATTCCTTATTTCGGTCCTGATTATTATCATCTTACTTTTAACCCCCTGAAATTATAATGTTGGTAGGCTTTTGGGCTACTATTTATTGAATTTATTGGTCATATCTATATATTTGCACAAATCAAAGCACACGCTATATTTTTTTTAGCGCGCTTCAATTATCCAGTTGTTCTAAAATTATATTCATGTTGTTCAGAAAATTTCTTATATTAGAGTAAAAGATAGATAAAGTTTATAAATAAGAACATCATTATTTTTTCCTAAAATATGACACGTGCACTCCTAATTGAGTAAGTTTTGTATTTTAAATAGAATCAAATAACTCCTATTTTTGGAATAAAATATAATTATTTCATTTTGTCTAAGTTTTACTCCTATATGGAGTATTTTCTTTTTTGAATATTCTTTTATTCAAGCTCAGCCCACTCATTGGATATATAACAATAAGCGATGAAGTTAACTTAAGATGCACTTTTAGATCTCGGTCTCAATTTGTTAATTTAGAAATTGCCTTGAATAAGAGTAAAAACGTTTTGAAATTCCAAAATAGGATCTTATGTTTTTATTCCCTAAATAAGAGTAATATTTATCATCTTTGGAAAAAAATGTCATGTTTAAAGCCCGATAATGCCAAACTTTTCAAACATTACTTCTATTTAGAGAATAAAAACATGACAGTCTTATTTTGGAATTTCAAAACATTTTTACTCTTATTTAGGTAATTTTCCATTGTTAACTCTGTGTCTAAGTTAAAGTAATCTTTTAACGAGTATTTAGCAGCTTGTACTCCTGTAGCAAGTCTGAAATATTTTACGCCAGAATGATAGAGTATAATTGAATCATGTACTTTTATTGGACATTTTGATAACTTTAGTTTATTTCTATTCACCTTCGTTATAAATTTTTAATATCCTTTAATTTTAAGGCTGGAGAAATTGGTGGTAGTTTCAAGCTCCATTTCTCCCATCTAGGAGGTACAGTTGCTTTCTGACCATAAGTATATATCTACTTATACTTGTGTGTATTGTTTTGATATGTTTTATAGGCCTATATCCTTATAAGGTAAACTAATACTCCTTAACTTTTTGTAACATGTATTTAGAGTTCACTTAGGATATGTTTGGGAGTTGATTTTTGGAGGGGAGGGGATGGTTGACAAGAGTTTATAACCCTTCCTTTCATGTTGGGGAGTTAAAAAATATAAAAGGGATGTTTATGGAGGGCTTTTGTAACCTTCCAAAACCTTTCAAATGCCCAATTTTCAAATTCTCCCAAATTTGGGGATTTTGAAGGATAACTAATTAAATAACAACTTTAGCTCAATTAGAAATAAATATAAACTCAATTATTTGAATTCGTCATGTATGTGAAGTGATGTTAATTATAATTCATTCGAAACTTTTACCTTTTCAAACTTATTACTCCCAAATAAGAAGAAGGATTTCCAACCCTTTTCCTCCCCTTCCCTTCCGACTAACCTTCAAAACTTTCCCTTCCTCTTCACTTCAAACTCCCAAACATACCCTTAAATTAGTCAATACAAGTGTTCCAACTCGAACAGATTTTCACTAGAAGCATTTTTTAAGGTAAGGTAAAACTTCCTTTTACATGGATGTGGCCAGTCACATTGATATTTTTTTGATTTTGTTAAAACTTTTTTTTCACTTACTTCTTTAATTGGTTCAACGTTATGTTCCGGTACTTTGTATTAGGAAATGGAGTCCCATTTTAACTTCTTGACCTGAACGACTTTGTTTTCAATTTCATGAACATGAGCTACTAATAGCATTTTTATAGGCACAAGATTAATTTAAATTCATTGGTTTCCAACACTATGATCTGGAGAGTTCTTTTATAAAACGTATAGAGCATAATTTTTCTTTGGGAAAGATACATATGAGTAAAACTCATACAAATTCCTGAAATATGACTTCTTAAGTTTCTCTTTACCATCTTACGACTAAACTTATGACTAAGGAGAATTTTTAGAGACCAAAGTATCCTCAAAAATATAAAGGCACATAGACTAGGGAGAAAAAATAGGTTGCTTCCTTTTTTAAGGAGTACAATTAAGTCATACGTTGGGGAAAAAATATGCAAGTCATATTACGGGAAACACGAGCACTTTAAATCACACGGAGGGTAAATTTCTCTTTTTCTTTCCCTATATTTTTTCTATGGTAAATTGTAATTCTAAAATAACCTGCACACAGATATTCAGGGTAATGAACCTTCCAAAAAAATTAGTCCAAATATGCACAAAAAAAGGCACCATTAACTAATCTCTCATAAGTTGAACAAAAAGGCCGGCATCCTTTCAAAATGCCAATAAATGGTTGGACAAAGGAGAGTATATCGTGCAAATATTGTCACATGCATCCCATTTTGTGACTATCAGCATCATTCTTCCATCAAACACACCTCATTACAGACGAGGATGCCATATTCAAGAAAAAACAACTCACCAGTTGAAAATAGAATCGATTGATTACTTTTCACACTTCCATCTACTATTACTATGATTAATATTGTACATATTCCATGAGATATTTGTTGTCTCAGTACTCTATACCCAATAAGTATTTATCTTTTGTTGCATACATTACATGCATCTATGATCTATTGTTCTCTCCGGATCTTTTACGATCTTGGTAACCTACCTCATCTTTTCTTATGTTTATTACACGGTACATACACAACAAACAAATACGTACATTCAATGTGAAGACCATACTTTTACATACATACATACATACATACATATATGATTTACATAAAAGTTGTGATCAAATAATATGCTTGGGCATTTTGTTCAAACGGACATGGCGCGTTCAAAAACTAGTTTTTATTATAAGTATTATCAGTATCACTATATCACGTAGAACTACAACTATCGTTAAATTACAAACACCAACAATTTATGAACGTGTTTGGTTACACGGACTGATATTGATGAAATTTTGAGTGGATTGATTGATATAATAATAATAAAAATAAGAAAAAATTCCACTTTTGGTCCAATGACTAATATACCACTTCCACATTTAGTCCCTTACTTTTAGATTGTTCACATTTAGTCCGTCACCATTATCCCCTCACCACCCCTCGTCCTTTCGGCCAAAATTCCGGCAAATTTAATGCAAGACTGATATGAAAAACCTAACCTGATACAAAATTTAATGCAAAGATTGATTCTGAGGTTGAAAAGTTGACTAAATTTGCCGGAATTTTGGCCGGAAGGACGATGGGTGGTGAGGGGATAATGGTCACGGACTAAATGTGGACAATCTGAAAGTAAGGGACTAAATGTGGAATTTTTTCATAACAATAATAATAGGCCTTTTGGCCTGGATATTACTAAAAATAAGATAAAAGTATAGAAGAGTAAATATGTAACCACAATCCATTTATAATTTTTTCATAATAATAATTATAATAATTATAATAATAATGATAATAATGATAATAATAATAATAGTAAAAGTAATCAATCATGTTTGTATAGAAGAGTATAGATAAAAATATGTAACCACAATCCATTTATAGAATTTCTTGTGTGCATTTGGAGAGGTTCATTTATAGAATATAAGCACCAACCATCCCACCCCTTCGCTAGGTATGTAACTATATTCTTGAATGTCTTTAACTTATTCATTGTCTTGGTTATTGTTGGCTATATATATTTTATTGCTACGTTTTTATTTTGTGAAGTTTTATTCCTAGTATGTATGCATGTGGTTTCTACAACGTAGGAGTTTGTTTAGATTATGAGAGCCATGTATTTTTTATCTCCTATTTTGTAGCATATCCGTAGCTGGCAGTAGAGATCCTCTCACTGCGTCAATTGTATATAGACCTATGGTCTCATTTGAGATAAACAGATGAATTAATACGATCATCACTTTTCTGCGCATAAAGACTATGACGTCCAATTGCACACCGTAAAAATAAACTCCTCTCCCGTCGATAACTCACGCTCTTCGGTTGGATCAGGTACTCCGTATTCCATATCTCATTATGTAAATTATAATCATTTTTCGATTCCCCACCGTGCTTTTCTTGCAGCTATATCTGCGGCCAAAGAGCCGTCCAATTTCAATGAAGCTGTACGTGATCCACAATGGAGAGAAGCGATGGGCCGAGAAATTGTGGCTCTCGAACGAACTGGCACCTGGCGAATCCAAGACCTGTCGCGTGGGAAGAAGGCTAGTTTTTTGTAAGTGGGTCTTCAAAATTAAACACAAAAGTGACGGTTCAGTGGAACGCTACAAAGAGCGATTGGTGGTCTCTGGAAACCGTCAGGTGCAAGGCATTGACTATAGTGAGACTTTTGCTCGGGTTGCTAAAATGGTAACTGTGCGGGCCATTTTAGCAGTTGCTGCTTCTTGTCAGTGGGAGCTTCATCAAATGGTCGTGGATAATGCTTTTCTTCACGGGGATTTGCATGAGGAAGTTTACATGCATTTGCCTCCCGGTTACTAGGCCTCTTCCCCATGCTTAGATCACTCTATGGATTACGGCAGGCTCCCCGATGTTGGTTCTCTAGGCTCACGGCTTCCTTGCGTTATTATGGTTTTTGTCAGTCACACGCAGATTACTCTTTATTTACTCTAAGACGGGATCATCAAATTCTGTGTGTTTTCATTTATGTTGATGATCTTCTTATTACTGGGAATGATCGTGATATGATTGTGGCATTTAAGAAATTTCTAGCTACTTCTTTTCCAGTTAAAGATTTGGGAATAATGAAGTATTTTTTGGGTATTGAAGTGGCATGCAATTCTACTGGCATTTTCTTATGTCAACGCAAATATGTGCTAGATATATTGACGGAGACGGGTTTAACAGGGGCACAACCAGTTTCCTTTCCTATGGTGCAAAACCATAAATTGCAATCAGACACTGAGCCTATTTTTTCTGATCCGGAACGCTATCGGAGGTTAGTTGGAAAATTAATTTATCTTACTCTGACCAGCCAGATATTAGTTATTCAGTCCATATTCTCTCTCAATTTATGCAATGTCCAAAGGCAGCGCATTGGGAAGCTGTTTTACGCATTCTACGCTATCTTAAGAGTCATCCGGCCAAGGCATTGTATTGCGGTTTGACTCACCACTTACTTTGACCAGGTTTTGTGATGCTGACTGGGCTAGTTGCCCCATGACACGACATTTTGTCACTGGTTATTATGATTCTCTCGGGCAGTCCCCTATATCATGGCGCACCAAGAAACATGCAACGGTTTCTCGCTCCTCAGCGAAGGCAGAGTATTGATCCATGGCTGCACTCACGTGTGAACTTATTTGGCTGCGCAACTTGCTTAAGTGCCTAGGTGTCAATCACTCTTCCCTCGTGCCTATTTATTGTGACAATCAGGCCGCTCTTCATATTGCTTCCAATCCGGTATATCACGAGCAAACCAATCACATCGAACTTGATTGTCATTTTATTCGGGATCATATCCAGGCTGGCACTATCTCTCCATCTTATACATCCACCACTGAATAACCTGCGGATTTGTTAACTAGAGCGCTCGGAGCATCCCAATTTTCTTATCTACTTACCAAGATGGGCATTTGTGATCCCCATTCTCCATCTTGAGGGGGGTGTTGGCTATATATATTTTATTGCTACGTTTTATTTTGTTAAGTTTTATTCCTAGTATGTATGCATGTGGTTGCTACGACGTAGGAGTTTGTTTAGATTAGGTTGTTGTACAATTATGGTGTGGAGGTATTGGCATATGGGCCAAAGCAGCTATTCTCCCTCTTTTACGGGCCCAATCCAGGTTGGCCCAATCACTGCAGCCAGCCCAGCACCTCCGCCCGTCTCTGGAACCATCTACTAGGGTTACTTTTGTACCTTAGTATATAAGGCCTTTCTAAGGTCTTTTCGGGTGAGACTTAATGCGTTGTGTTTGACTTAGAGGTAGAGGGTTAGAGAAAGAGAGAGTTAGGGTTTTCTGATACCCTGCTCCTCATTGTTCCTCTGTGTGACTCTTCCTCTACTCTGCTCTCCCTGTTCGGTGTGCGTAGAGAAGGTTAAGGTTGGCTGAGTGGGTTACCTTCGTTGGTGCTAAAGGTGGTGCTTTGTGTGATCGTTTGAGTGTGGTCTGAGTCGGAGAAGTGAACACCCAACAGTGGTATCAGAGCTGGATCTTCGTGTTGACACCTCTTCTGCTGCCTAGAGCTCCTCCGCCGCCGTGACGCTTCAGATCTCCACCGTGATGCTCCTGCTCTTCAGTGAGTTGGTAAGTCGAGATACCCCCTTAGGATCTCGCTCAAGTAAAGCGGCGATAAACACCCTAGGTTGTCGGGTGCCTTCGGTGTTATTGTGTGCTCTCTGTATTTTGTTTCCTCTTTTATCATTGTTTTCTTCGTTATTCCGTCTGTCCTGTGCTTTGCTAGACCGGGCGGTCTAGTTGTTAGCGTATTCTGACTGGATCCAGGTACAATCTCTTAATCCCTTTCCTTGTGTGGCTCAGTTTGTGTGACCAAATCTATTGCATGTTGAGATCTTTTTCATCCTGTGACTTTAACTGTGCTCTTTATCTGCTGCATGTCTCTGACTGAGTCTGACCTTTGAGATTCTTGTAACCTGTGCATCACTAGTACCCTTGGTACCTGAGGTTAGGGCTGACAGGTTCCCTGCTAGCCACTTCAGTGGCCTTCGGATCTGCATGGCCTGTCAGTCCGCTGCCAGTAATAGTTGATTCCTGATTACTTGAATCTTGTCTGCTTGGTTTGTGTTGTTGTGTTCATCTGTTGATCTTTTCTCACTCTGTGATATTTCTGGCTTGTGTTTTTTCCTGTGTACTTCAGTGTTTATCATCATGTCTACAAACCAATATGGAATGCTTCCTTTTAATGGTAAATCTGATTTTGACATTTGGAAACAAAAAATAAAATGTGTTTTAATTCAACAGAAAGTTTTCAGAGCAGTAACTGGAAAATATTTAGAAACTGAGAACTCTGCTAAACAGGTTGAAATGAACGAAACAGCATGTTCAACTATTTATTTAAACCTTTCTGACTCAGTTCTTAGAAAGGTAGGTATAATGGACTCTGCTAAGGAACTGTGGGATAAACTTGAGAGCCATTATACTGACACCTCTCTACCCGGGAAACTGTTTTTGCTAGATTTTTTTTTTCCGGTTTAGGCTTGACCTAACCAAAGACATTGATGAAAACCTAGATGTTTTTAACAAACTCATTCAAAACATTAAGCAGACTGGTGATAAACATATTGATGAGTATACACTTGTTGTGTTTCTGAATGTTATTCCTGATGCTTATAATGATGTTAAGTCTGCTATTAAGTATGGTAGAGATGAGATTTCTCTTGACATTGTTGTTAATGGGTTAAAGAGTAAGGAACTTGATCTAAAACAGGCTAGGACTAGTAAACAGTTGTCTGACTCTGGTGAAGTTTTATTTGTTAGGGGTAGGTCTAAGAGCACATCTAGGCACCCCAAGCATAATAATCAGGGTAAGGCCAATAGTCAACCAAGTAAGAAAAGGAATAAGTCTAGGGAGCGTGTTTGCTACAATTGTGGCAACCCGATCCATTTTATCAAAGACTGTCCAAACCCTAAGAAATCTGACCAAACCAATGTTGTTGTTGAGCATGATAATCATGGTGATGTTCTTATGGTATGTGATCATGCAAACTCTGTGTTTAATGATTTAACTGAACATGAATGGTTGATTGATTCTGGTTGTTCATATCACATGAAACCTTTTAAGCATTTGTTTTCTACTTATGAAACTTGTGATTCGGGTTTTGTTTCCTTGGCTGATAGTAAGAAATGTAAAGTGCATGGTGTTGGTGATATATATTTGAAATTTGACTGTGGTACTGTGTTTACTATAAGAAATGTGAGACATGTATCAGATCTATGTCATAATTGTTGTCTGTTTCTGCTCTTGAGGGCTGTGGGTTAGAAGGAAAATGGGGAAAGGGTGGCATGAAAATTTTGAAAAATTCCCTTGTCTTATTTAAAGCAATGTGTGCCAATAACCTGTATGTATGCCATGCTAAGCCTGTTTCTGACTCTGCCTTTGTGGTTGTATCAGACAAGTCTGTTCTGTGGCATAATAGACTAGGTCATATGAGTAATAAGAGGTTAGCTATTATGCATAATGGGGGTTATTTTGGGAAAGATTCTGTGACTTTTGTGCCATTCTGTAAATGTTGTGTTCTGGGGAAACATCATAGGGTCAGTTTTCCTTCTTTTGTGTATCCAAATCAGCCAAAATCCAAATGTGCCCTTGAATATGTTCATGCAGATTTTTGGGGGCCTGCTAGTGTTCCTACGCATGGGGGTAAAAAATATTTTCTGTCTGTCATAGATGATTTCTCTAGGAAGGTTTGGGTGTGCCTTTTAGAGTATAAGTCTGATGTGTTTAGTCAGTTTAGCCATTGGAAAACCTTAGTGGAAAACCGGACAGGTTTGAAAGTTAAAACTCCTATAACTGACAATGGTCTTGAATTCTGCAATAAGGACCTTGACAACCTGTGTAGGGACTATGGAATTAGAAGGCATAAGACTGTCCCCTATACCCCTCAGCAAAATGGTATTGCTGAAAGAATGAATAGGACCTTCCTGGACAAGGTTAGGAGCCTCTTAACTGCGTCTGGTCTATCTAAGAAATTCTGGGGTGAGGCTGTTACTACAGCTGCCTACTTGATAAATAGGTCACCTTCTGTTCCTTTGAGTGGTAAATGTCCTGAAGAGGTTTTCACTTGAAAACCTCTTGACCTGTCAAACCTTCATGTTTTTGGTTGTTCTGCTTATGTGCATCAAAATTCAGACAAATTGGATCCCAGATCCAAGAAATGTGTGTTCTTAGGTTACCCTGAAGGGGTTAAGGGTTATAGACTATTGGATAGAAGTGTCCCTTGTCAGTAGGGATGTTATCTTCAATGAAACTGAGTTTCCTTGTCTTCCTAGATCCAACCTGACTCCTTCTGAGGTGGAGCTTGAACCCTTGGTTCCTGTCACTATTTCTATAGAGTCTGATAGTGATGTTGACCCCACTGTACCCTATGTGCATGCTGACATGTCTGCTGAACAAGATCACTCCACCACTCCTTTTGAGGTGGAGTCGATAACTGATAATAATGTGCATGATGCTACTGTCCAAACTGATGTCCATGATAATACTGGTTTGCATGATATTCATGATAACTTGCATGACTACCAACTTGCTAGGGATAGAACCAAAAGGCCTATTAAGAAAAAGGCTGATTCCATGTCTGACTTTGCTTTTGGTGTGAGTGATGTCTCTGAGTTTGCTTTTACTGTTTTTGAATCCCTAGAACTTGATGAACCCAAGACCTATAGGGAAACCTTAGACTCTAAGGAGTCCCAACAGTGGATTAAGGCTATGCAAAGTGAGATGGACTCCTTGCATGTGAACCAGACCTGGACCCTAGTTCCCAGACCCCCTAACTGCTCTGTGGTTGAGTGCAAGTGGCTCTACAAAGTCAAAGAAGAGTCTGACTCTGTTAGGTTTAAGGCTAGACTAATGGAAAAGGGTTTTACTCAAAAAGAGGGGGTAGATTATGCAGAAATCTTTGCTCCTGTGGTTAAGTTTACTAATGTCCGCATTATGCTTGCTCTTGTTCCTTA